CCCTCCTCCCTCTCATGCTCTCTGTCTCTCATTCTCTCTCTCGCAAATAAATAAAATCTTAAAGAAAAAAAAAAAATTCCACCGCGGGGCTGGACTATAACTTATTTAGCCAGTGCCTTAATATCACGCAATTAGTTCCAATTTTAACTACTTTTGATAGTCCTGTGAAGAGCATCTTTGTACATGAATCTTTGTCCACATTGTCGATTATTTCTTTAGAGTAAATCTCAGGAATTAGACATTCTGTGTCAAAGGCTTTTGAAACATCTTGCCAAATTGCCTTCCAGAAAGGTCTTGCCAATTTCAAGCCTGGCCAGCAGCATGTGGGAGACCGCTCACTCTTCCCCACAGAGTGATGCCTAGTTTTCTTTGAGATGCCCTGGACATCCTGGCACCTGGGGGTCTGGCATCAGTTCTGCCCGCCCTGCTCTCGGGTGAGCTGTCTCACCACACCCCTGGCCCGAAAATCGGCCCCCCGTCCCGCCTCCCTCCCGCCATCCTTTGCCAGCCCAATTGTTCACAGAACAATCTGAAGGAAATTGCCTAAGATCTGGGGAGCCGGGGGGTCAGAGGCAGCGATTCTGCGGAGTGTAGTGACTTTTTGGTGCCTCCCTTGTTTTCCTTGAATTTTGTTCCTTTGTTGGTTTTCCTGCTCTGCAGGGTATTTTTGGCCCCCTCGCCCTGCCAGCGAGGCGGAACCCTTGGACTGCTGGGTGGGAGTGGCAGGTGGAGAGAAGCTGCCGCCCAGCACCCTGCAGGATGACCTGCCCTGCCTCGGGTCCAGCCAACTCCCTGACCCCACCTTGCTGGGCAGTGACTCCCCAGGGAGCCGGAGCAGTGAGCACACACTCACCCTGACCTCGGGGCGCAGCAGACATTAACAGAGTGAAGCGTAGCGGCCCCATTACTAAACACCTGCTTTGTGCTGGGTACTTCTGCATCGAGCCCTCTCGAATGATCCCATCAACCCATTTTACCGCTTATGGGAGCAGAATCTCAGAGAGGTTAAGTAGTTTGCCCCAGGTCCCACAGCCGGGAAGAGCAGAGTTGGACTGCAACCCAAGTCCATGTCCCTAACCACTAGTCTATACTGTACTCTTTGAAGAGAGCAGGGAGGGTGTGATGGGCCCATTCTCCCTGGGGGAGAAAGGCCTTTGGCTGCAGTCCCCAGGGAGGGGCTATCCTGCAGGGCTTCTCCTGGATGTGGGAGCCAGGGGAGCTCTACCAGCTTCCTCGCTTGGCCTGCACCCTGTCTCCAGTTAATGTATCTGCTTTTCCTCTGGCAGACCTGATGTCTTTAAAGAGGATGATGGAGAAACTCGGGGTCCCCAAGACCCACCTGGAGATGAAAAAGATGATCTCAGAGGTGACAGGTGGGGTCAGCGACACCATCTCCTACCGAGACTTTGTGAACATGATGCTGGGGAAGCGGTCGGCTGTCCTCAAGCTGTGAGTACTTCCCGCCTCTCCTGGGGCCTCTGAAGGCAAAGTCATTGTGTGTGGAGAGGCCATGCCCCAGCCAGGAGGGAACGCCTCGTGTGACCTGCTGGACGAGGTTCTTGATTTCTCTGAACCCAGTTTCCTTATCTGTCAAATGGTCACGTTAATACATACCCAGAACTTCTGGTAGAATGAGCACTCAGGAAGCAGAACAATGGTGGTGATGATAAATCTGCCTTGAGGGGCACCTGGGTGGCTCAGTCGGTTAAGCATCTGCCTTCAGCTCAGGTCATGATCCCAGGGTTCTGGGATTGAGCCCCGTGGCGGGCTCCCTGCTCAGTTTAGAGCCTGCTTCTCCCTCTCCCTCTGCTCCTCCTCCCTGCTTGTGCGTGCTTTCTCCCTCTCTCTCAAATAAATAAATAAAATCTTAAAAATAAATCTGTGAAACCTTCTGAGCCTGGGTTTCCTTATTTGTAAAGTGATTCCACTACCCCACGGGGTTGTTGAGAACATAATGTAGTTACCAACTGGCTCTGAAGGGAGGCAGAGTTCAAATCCTGATGCCGTTACTTGCCCCCTAACCGAGCCTGGGCAAATCCCCTTAGGTCCCTGAGCCTTAGTTTCTTGGTTTGTAAGCGAGAGATGATATTAAGTATCTTGTGTGAAGTGTCCTGAGGGCTAATGACCTAACGCATATGAAGGCCCCAGCCCAGTACCTGGCTCTTGGCAAACACCTAGTATGTGGCGGCCAAAATCACACTTCCCAGGTCCTGCCCCCGCTGCAGAGAGACTCCCTGGAGAGTCTCTGGTAGGAATGTAAAATCTACCTGCCTCATTTGTTACAAAGGGGGAAGTCGAGCCCCAAGGAAGCTGAGGAACTGCTCATGAGCCCACAGTTCAGGCTGCAGAGCTTTTAGTGTGAGGTGGGATGGAGGCAAGAGGTGTGGTGGGAAAACCATCAAGGTCAGACCACAGTACACCTGGGATGCCGGATGACGCAGGTGGCAGCAACAGGAGTGTTGATGCTCTTAGAAAACACCTAAGATTTAGTGCATTTACTGTGTGGCAGGCAGGCACTGGTCTACCCAGTGACTCCTTAGATGTATCATTTATTAATTCAGCACATATTTATTGAGCACCAACTATGGACCAGGAATTATTCTAGGTGCCTGGGGACACATCAGTTGCTGGCATGGTGGAGCTTACATCCTCATGGCAAGAGACAGACAAAAACAAAATAAAAAAACCCAGAAAACTAAAATGCCAGATTACGATGGTGTAGTACAAAGAAAAACAAAGTGGACAAGAGGAACAGAGAGGGATGGGATAGTGGGCAGGGAGGAGCTCATTGAGAAGGCAAGACTTGACCAGAGCCCTGAGGGAGGGAGATGTAAAGAGATGAGCCCGGCAAAGATCCTGCGAAAAGCATTCCAGGCAGAGGAAGCAGCAAGTGCAAAGGCCCTGAAGCAGACTGTGCTTGTATGCTCAAAGGAACAGCACAGAAGCTAGTGTAACTGGCCATCAGTGAGTGCAGTGAGTGAAGGATGAGTTTGCAGAGACAGGCTGGGGCTAGGCGACATGGGGCCTGGTACGTCATGGTCCCACTTAACATTTGGCACTAATGTGGAGGAATGCCATTGGACGACTCTAAGCTAGGGGCTGACTTTTAAAAGCCTCTGGCTGCGGCAGGGGTGAGAGTGGCAGCAGGGAGGCTGTTCAGGCAAGAGATGAGGCCACTCGGCCTGGAGAAGGGGCAGTGAAGGTAGGCAGAAGCTGCTGGCATCAGGAATGATTTGGGAGACAGAGCTGGAAGGCTTGCTTCAGTGGCCAGATACGGAGTGTAAAGGACAACAAGGAGTCAGATGATCCTGATCTGTTTGGGGTGAGTGACGTTGCTGTTTGCTTTAGGGGAAGAGCAGGCGGGGAAGGCAAGAATTAGGAGTTGAGTTTTTGATGGATTAAGTTAGAAGTGGCCTTTAGACATCCAAGGGGAGAGGTCAAGGAGGGCCTGGATGTGCAGATCAGCTCGGAGGTAAGCTGCTTGTGGACTATTGCCCTTTGGATGGGATTTATAGCCAGGGGACAGAAAGAGCCCACCCAAGGAGTGCCTACAGGCGGAGTGGGGTACTTGAAACAGCTCTAGGGTATTGGCACTTTGGGCATCCTTACTTCCAGATGGAAACACTGAGCATCAGTGGGGTCCAGTGTCTTTCTTTTTTTTTTTAAAGATTTTATTTATTTATTTGACAGAGAGAGATAGAGCAGGAACACAAGCAGGGGGAGTGGGAGAGGGAGAAGCAGGCTTCCCGTGGAGCAAGGAGCCCGATGCGGGGCTCGATCCCATGACACTGGGATCATGACCTGAACCGAAGGCAGACGCTTAACGACTGAGCCACCCAGGCGCCCCTCCAGTGTCTTTCTTGAGTCACCAGCTGGGAAATAATAGGGCTGGGATTCAAGTCAGGCTGTTTCCCTCCAGAGGCTCCATCCAAACCCCTATCCTCTACTTCCCAGATGCTACTTTTTTTGAGAGAGAGAGTGGGGGGTGGGGGGGAGGTGAGGGAGAGGGAGAGAGAGAGAGAGAGAGAGAATCTTAAACAGGCTCCATGCCCAGCGTGGAACCTGATTTGGGGCTTGATCTCATAACCCTGAGATCAGAACCTGAGCTGAAATCAAGAGTCGGACGCTTAACCAACTGAGCTGCCCAGGCGCCCCAGATGTTACTCTTAAAACCTTGGGAAGTTTTTGAAGATCTGAAGGGGTTTTGAGCAGAGCCATGGCCCAGCCTAGCTCTGCCTCCTTCAGGCAACGTGGTTAGGGGAAGAACCATGACCTAGAATATAGAGATCTTTGTACCTCAGTTTTCTGTTCTGTGAAATGGGACTAGCAGCCCCTTCCACATTAAAAAGATCCCACTGGAGAATGGATGCAAGGGCATTTGGTTGAGGATCCTGCAGACATGAGGGCTGAGATGATCTCTCCCTGGATGAGGGAAGGAATCCTAATCCTGCCTTTTTTTTTTTTTTTTTCAACCTCCGTCTCCAAACCAGAGTCATGATGTTTGAAGGAAAAGCCAACGAGAGCAGCCCCAAGCCAGTTGGCCCCCCTCCAGAGAGAGACATTGCCAGCCTGCCCTGAGGACCCCCGTCTGGACCTGCCCCCGTTCCTCCCCCGTGATCTTGCTGCCCTTCTTGATTCATTGTGATTTGTCTTATTTGTTTTGTCTGGTCATTACGCGTTTGTTTCATTTTCAACCAGCAAAATCAGTGATCTCTTTGTAAAGCACAAATTACCTGCCTTAAAGGGGCTCTGGGCCAGGGAATTCTGAGCCTTGGGGACCCTCCCTCTCATCTCCCCTCCTTCCGCCTTCCCTGTGCAGAAGGGCTGACATCAAACCAAAACCAGGAGGGGGCAGCCTGGACAGGGAGACTGGAAGACTGTGATCCTCATGCTTGGAGCTGACATAGTCTGTCCTTCCAGGGTCCCTGAGCTAAGTCCAGGCTTGCTGGCCTGGCCCTGGTGAGGACCACAGCCCACTCGCAGAAGACCCTGGAGTGGGAACCAGGCTTTCCTCAGACAGCTCTGTGGTTCCCTGCTCTTGAGTCGTCTAGGGCATGACCACTCAGTGTCCCACCTCCCCCACTGACCTCCTCCCCCAGTCCACACTTCTCATCCTCAGGGAGGTGACAGAAGGAGAGACGGAGAGGGGCTTGGTGATCTGAGCCCTTTAAGAAGGTTCCAGAAGGAATCCTCTGGCCTTCCCCGCAGCCACACCTTTACAGGCAGCTTGGAGGGAAAGTGCAGCCCCCGTGTCCTTTGCGGGGGCAGCAAAGGGCTTTGGGAGTAGAAGGGAGGCGAGGGGCCTTGGGAGCGGTGTCTGTTCGGTCTGGTGCCACCTTTTGGGGAGGATGCTGAGGACAAGAGGATAGGAGAAGGAGGAATAGAATGCTCATGGCAAACAGCACCACTAATAAGCCAAGAGCTGAGAAACAGAAGGTGGCCTTTCTGATCCCAATCTGCTTGAAACCTGACTGTGCTCCCCCTATTTGCCTTGCCATCTTACTCCATTCATTCATTCATTCATTCATTCACTCACTCAGTCATTCAGTGGATATTTATTGACCACCTATTATAAGCTTTAAGTCCCCCCACTTTGTCCTGACATGTGCCTTGCCCTCAACCCCTAATCTCCATTTCCAATCACCCAAAACCTTGAGCTTGGGGATTGGATTGGGGTCCCTTATGATGGACTCCCAAGGTTTGAGAGCCCTGATCCACTCTGTAGGTTAGCTAGACCGGTCCTCTCATTTCACAGGTGGGAAAACTGGTGCTCACAGGGATTAAGTGCCTTGCCAAGGGGTTAATCGGGAGATGGAAGTCTGGACTGGAACCCAGCTGTTCAGATACCATGCCCGTCCTCATTGCTGCTCTGGGCTGTCTCAGTGATGAAAATGAGAGAAGGAATGGGGAGGGGCAATCTCCCAGGTCAGTCCTTGGGGAAGGCCCTGGGCCAGGACTCACCCTTCCCAGTGCCTCCATGTCAGCACCAGGGGGTTTGGGTAAGGGCCTGGCTGCTTCTGCAGTTCTGCCTTCCCTAGAGCTTCTCCGCCAAGCCGCTTCTCAGAACTCAAGCAGGAAGGTGTCCCACTCAGCCCCATCTTGGCTGAGCAGGGACCCCAGCCTTGACCCCATCTGTGTTCTGGAGTCCCTTACCCTGCCCACTCAGGACTTAGATGCACTCATCCATTGAATCTATTTATTAAGCACCTGCTATGGGCCAAGAGCTAAGAACCAGGTAGTAAAATGGACAGACTCGTGGAATTTAGTCTAGTGGGGAAGTCAGAACCAGACAATGATCAGTGAGATGAATGTTAAGAAAGAGGGGACTGTAGGGTGACTGCACTGCAATCCTGGGCCCAAGACTGAGCAAGAGTCTTGGAGAAGCCCTCGCCAAACGTTAAGTGGAAACGTCAGGTTGCTGTTGGAGGTGGGAGTCAGTGTGGGCTGCCTGTGGCTCTTTAGTGACCCATAATCAAGGACCTAAGGAGCTCGCTTGCAGCAGCTTGAGGAAATGGAGCAGGTAGGGCATGGGGAATTGCTGAGGTTGGGTTAATCCACTGGTCTCAACCAGTTCAGGAACAAGATTATTTGGCCATGACTGGCTGATCTTCAGCTTAAGGAGCAGCTTCAAATGCACAAGCCTAGTTGAAGTTTAAACCCCAGCAAAACAGTTCTCCCTGTAAATGTAAAATCTCACCCCAGCACCTCCTCTTCCTTCCCCCCCCCCCGCCCCGGCGCCAGATCATTAGATGAACAACTGCCTGCCCCCCACCCCTTACTACTGGCCTCTCTTCTCTGGGACAGGCTGAGACCTTTGAGCAGGGTAATACCTTCTTTAACTACCCATTATAGTCAGTGTACCTGTTCTTCACTCAGGAGGGCAGAAGCAACCAGGCTTATTTCAACAGGTTTCACAGTTTACAAGACTGTAGGAAGCGTCCTTTAAGGGAGGTAGACAAGTGGGTGTGTCCCCAGCTTCTGGAAAGGGCAGGAAAGAGAGTTCTCTCATTGGAAGGGGGGTGTCCTGGGAAACACCACCAGTCCCCCCACCATTTACTAGAACTCAGTTCCTGGCAGCAGAGGGGCTCAAAAGTGGTCCCTGGAAAGGGGGAGTGGTCTGCGTGTATTTTAGTTTGTGGCTATTGGCTCTGGGACTTACTTCTCTGGCTAAGGGCTCAGCTTCTTAGAACTTCAGCTGTCTTCTTTCTGAAAGACCAAATCTAACTAATGTAACCAGCAACTCGGGGACTGCCAAGTATGGCTTTGTCCCTGTGACTCAAAAGGAAGGAGTTTGCCAGGCACGTTCAGGTGGATAAGTGTGCGTGTGCGTGCGTGTGTGTGTGTGGCACGCCAGATATCATCTCTACAGACTAGAAATAAAACAAACTTATCAATGTCTTGACTTGTGTATTTTGGGGACAGTTCTAGACTCAGCAAATTCATAAAAGATAGCTGATATAGTAACAGCTCTAATGAATGTGTCCTGTGTGCCAGGCTCTGTTAAATACTGGACTTCATTTACTCCTTACAATAGCCCTATGAGGCTGGTTCTATTATGTTATCCTTATTTAAAAAATGAGACACGGGGGCGCCTGGGTGGTTAAGCGTCCGCCTTTATCTCAGATCATGATCTCAGGGTCCAAGGAGGGAGCCCACGTCAGCGGGGAGTCTGCTTCTCCCTCTCCCTCCCCTATCATGCTCTCTCAAATAAATAAAAGCCTAAAACAAATAAAAATGAGAAGCAGCCTTGGAGCAAATAAGCAATTTGCTGAAAACCAAACAGTAAGTGGCAGAAAATACCCCCTGCTCCTCCAGTTAACCCACACGCTCCAGATTAAGAATTTCTGTCCTAGAGCATTTATAATTCCAGTACAAACACCTGCACGGAAGACTGCCGTCAATCAACATATCCGGACAAGCTGAATTCTAATCTTGTCTTCACTTTGTGAGTGAGGGGCACTGGGGAATTGTCTTAACTTCTCATCAATTAAATGGCAACGATCAACCCCCCTCGGTAACTAGGACGTCTTGGAGCTTAAATGAAACGTCTGAAAGTCTTTTTGCGCAGTGCCCGGGCTCTCGCCTGGAAAAGGAGGTGACAAAGCTGATGTTGGTACCCTTTGCCCTGCCCCTTGAGCCTTCGCGCTTAGAGCCGAAGAGTCCTCCGAGGCCCCACCCACCCACTTTCAGAACCTCTGTTCCTCCTCGCTCCCCTCCAAAGCCTCTCTTAAGAGCGGCCCCCTGGAGATGTTTGTCAGGCTCCTAACGCCTCTCATTCGGGGACTGTTAATAAGCACGTACACCCTACTGTTCCTGCGGGGTTTCAGCGCCACAAGGAGCGCAGAGCGATCGAACGGGCGCCGCACAACCAATCACACAACCCGACACGCCCCCAGCCCGCTCTAGCGGCGACGCCGGGGGCGGGCCTTGGGCGCTTCACGGCGCAGGCGCATCGGCCCGGGGCTACGCCCCCTACCCGGCCAAAGGGAAGCGGTGGCTAGGAGAGCGCGCGACTTCAGATGGTCGCTCGCCCTCCTCCGACTACGCGGCGGCCCCGGGCGCGTGACATCACCAAAGCGCGCCGGAAACGCGGAGTCTGCTGCGCGCTGCCAGCGGTGAGGGAAGGAAGTTGGCCTCGGAGCGGCCTGGGCTGTGTGGGCAAGGCCGCAGGCGGCAGCGGCGGCTGCTTCGACCAACTGAGGGTGGCGCGATGGGAGACGAGATGGATGCCATGATCCCCGAGCGGGAGATGAAGGTCAGAGACTGGCCGGGGCCTCCCTCCCTTCCTTAGTCCCGGCGTTGCCTTGGAGCCCCGCTGAACGGCGCAGCGCGGGGGCCGGGTGTCCCGCTTCCCGCCTCCTGCTTGAACAGTTTGCCGCGTTCAGAGTTCTCGCCGGCGCGTCCTGGTGTACTCTGCCGTGCCGGCGGCACCGTAGCCCCGCCGAATGCGGTTTCTCCGTCCCTTCTCGGTCTTGTGCGCGCCACTTGAGTTTCCCTAGTTACTTTCATGTGGTGGTCGGAGTCGTGGTAATAATTACTGTTTATTGAGCGTTCACTGTGTGCCAGACGCTGTGGTACTCATCACAGCGGCCCTGTGAGTAGTTGTTAATGAAGAGGAGCGCAGTGAGGCTGGGGAAGTAGCTTACCCAAAGTCACATTTGATCAAGGGGCTGAAATCTAGGTGGTGGTTTTTTTAAGGCCCTCTCTTGTACACTCTCACTGTACTACCTCTGTAAAGGGTCCAGGCTTGCCTAACACAGAGCCAGGGTTCATCACTTGTTCTACAAAACCTTTGGTTGAATGGAATAGGAGGACTATCTTGGTACTGGAAATCAGGGTAAAGTCAGGAAACAGAAGAGAGGGACAGGTGATCCAAATGACGGTTATGAGTAAGTTGCGGGAAGCTTTTAGGCGATTGAACCCGTCACTGAAATGCGTTTACTGAGTAGTAATCCATCCCATATTTATAGTGATTCTTCTTTGTCGAGAATGACGGGGTGGGGGGCGGGGGAAGTGGTGAGCCACCCAATGAGAGTGTGCCAATTTCTCGGGTATGCTGAGGCAGAAAGGAAAAAAAAGGGTTCAGAACCACAGACTTGGAAGATGACAGTCTCCCTTTGAGTTACTGATTATAGCAGAAAGAAAGCTTTCCTGTGCCTGTTCATCCCATTGGCTCTCCACACCTCTGTGTCCATGACCCAAACAGGATATTTAGGGTTATCAGGATGAGAATTACAAAAGTACTGAACATTTCATTCTGCTCCTGTGTGTTTTCATCTGGAATGCTGTGGGTTTCTGGTCACCCTACTCATTTGGAATTTAGAAGACAGTATTTCAGTTCATCTTTTAACACCTATGTGTAAAACACCAAATCTAATGAAATTATTATGTGGGGTGTATTAGGGATCCTGTACAAAACACCACAAGTGTACAAAAATGAAGGCTGAGAAAGGCTGTCTTTGGCTTTTACCCTTTGGGAATGTAAGCAAAAGGGGATTCACATTCCTTTTACTGAAACCTTGACTTAAGATAGATTTGGAATTGAATAAAATCAGCCATATATGGTACAGTTTAATATAGTGATTGGTAAACTTAGGGAATTTTTTTTTTTTTTTTTAGATTTTATTTATTTATTTGACAGAGAGAGACACAGCAAGAGAGGGAACACAAGCAGGGGGAGTGGGAGAGGGAGAAGCAGGCCCCCTGCAGAGCAGGGAGCCCGATGCGGGGCTCGACCCCAGGACCCCGGGATCATGACCTGAGCCAAAGGCAGATGCTTAACACGCTTAATGACTGAGCCACCCAGGCGCCCCAACTTAGGGAATTCTTACCAAGAGGTGGTACACACTGAAATTGTCCTTGAAAGCGTATCGATATATTCGTGGAAGACTGGGTGAGTCAGGTGTTGACAGGAGGTTGGGGAAGGCTCCTAGGCCCTGAAGTGCTAAGGAGCATGAAGACTGAAAGAAACGGAAATGAAACAGGTCTGGGTTGGAGGTGGCCCTGGGGGTTGCAGAGGTAATGGCGCACTTGTGGGAGGAAAGCAGAGTTGTGAGGTGAGGCTGCAGAGGCGGACACATCAAGCCATGCCTGGCCTTACAGCCTAGGGCTTTGGACTTGGGCTTAGATGTCCTCATAGCATCTAGGTATGTTTACAGGTCTTGAATGTTAAGAGATTGACCATACCTGTCCTTTTCTGTGATGGAATTTTGTTTAGTAGTTAATGCAGTTAAGCCAGTTCTTGGGATTTGGTTATTCTGTGGTCATTATTTCCGTGTGTGTGTGTGTGTGTGTGTGTGTGTGTATTTTTTGTTGTTGAGTACTGCACTGGAAGTTCAGACTAACAGTGTAGTTCGGTGATGCTTTCAAAATATATATATTTTTTAAGATTTTATTTATTTATGGGCGCCTGGGTGGCTCAGATGGTTAAGCATCTGCCTTCGGCTCAGGTCATGATCCCGGGGTCCTGGGATCGAGTCCCGCATTGGGATCCATGCTCCTTGGGAGCCTGCTTCTCCCTCTGCTTCTCTCTCTCTCTCTGTCTCTCATGAATAAATAAATAAAATCTTTAAAAAAAAAAAA